TACTATATTTAAAAGTAAGCTTTTGTGGAATGAAATGTTGAATGAAATACCAGTTTCACAAGTAGAACATTCTAAATAATCATTGGCTCCTGGGCGTATGGTACATCTACGTGCAGTAATTTATGGCCTATGTTGTTTTCGGGTACTGTTGCAAACATTCATCCAGGAAACAAACAGAAAACAAACACCAGGACTGAGCAAAGATGAAGGGGGAGAGAGAAGAGAGAGAAGGGGTGTGGGTGTGGTTGGAAGACTGGGGATTCAGTTAAAATTCAAGACGGTGGAAAGAATATATAAAAGTAAATATAAAAGAGAAAGGTGATAGCAGATAAATCATGTATAGTAATGCAGGGAATACTGAGAGATTTTACCTTTGAGTCCTATGGATCCAACAGGATGTTAGAATTGTTGGACTAGAAGTCCACTCCAGACCTTTGTAATGAATGGCTGAAAAACAGTAGTAGATTGCAGCTACGGTAGGCTCATTAAATCAGTGGCATTTACAGAGATATTGATTTGCCAAATCCTCACTGTTTCAATGCGCCTGCTCTACCTGGGACTTCGTACTGGATTTCAGCCAATGAATAGAACAAAGCTGTAATATCACTCAATCTAATTATAGAAGTCGGTGTATGATTTTCTCATCATTTCCGCTTTAATGTTTTATTTAACAGGGCAATGTTTTACATAGCTCACTGACAAAGGGGGGGGGCTGAGGGTTAAGTGACAGCAGTTCACACCTGATTAGATCTAAATACATAGTGATTGCTTACATAAACTAGCTTCCAAACCTGAGAAACACATAAAGCCAAATGCTTGTGTCTTTCTGTTGCTGTCAAGTGGAAAATGAACCATATTCCCAAGGCCTTCTCAGTGGTACATGAAAATTGCATTTAGTGATGGTGTGTCTCCCTGCTCCCATCCCCACCCTTGTAATGTTTCAAAGTGGGGGGGGGAAGACTTGGTTCATGGAGTAAATCAAGTTTGAGGTATGCAGGCAGTGAAACAATCTCCTCATGATTCCCCCAAGTCGAGTAATTTAAAAGGATGATTTAAATATTAGCCCATATCATACGCTAAGGAATTTTGAAATGAGTTGAGGATTAAAGGTGTAATCCTCTCAACCTAAAAGGACATTTCTCACATTATACAACACCACACCTGTGGACTGTGGGCTCCAGTCAGGGGCTGGAGTTATTTCTGCTATCTTTGGCAATCCAGTTACTTTCCAGATAAAGCAGGAGTGAACAAAATGCATCATATGCCCTTCATGAGTCCTCCAGGTGATCTAAATTCCACACACACCCATTACCACACATGTTTTAAATCATTCAAAAAGTCCCCTTGTGCCTCCTAGGAAGGCCATTTTGCTATGTTTTAAAGGCCACCCTGATACCTCTGTATCCCCCCCACATCCCCCAAAAAGAGTTTAAAATATTATTTTTAAATGGTCAGGAGAGGGACAGAGGCAGTTTTTTCAGTGCCCCCTATTTTTTTTTAATGTGGAGTTTACAGAAGCAGGTTCAAGGAAGGGCACATGTGGCACTCAAATCTCTAACACATGCTTTACCCCTGTGATAAAGCATGGGGAAAATGTCAATAGGAGTGACCACCCCATCTTCTCTGATAGACCAACCCCATTTCAAGCAAATGTGTTGTTGCAACCAAGGAAAACAAGTGGGAAAGACTTGGCAGATATGGGGAAAGCTTTGAAAAAGTCTTCTTTAACTAACTCTGGATTCTCCTGGAACCTGCCTGTTTCTCACAAATCAATGGACTTAAATAGAAGATATATGAGGTAGAAAATATTGTCAGACTCTTAACTCCTGCCACATTTGCCAGCTCAGTCAATAAGAAATCTTCTCCTTCTTTGTACGAAGGTGTAGCCAATGACAAATGATTATGGGAGCTGGGGACCAAGAAGGGGACCCAAACCTGTGAAGGGCTACAGGTATAGAAAATGACGTATAGAAAATAAGCCAATTGCACCCTAACATAAAATGGCACTCCATCCATGTTAGATTAGGAACAATTTACCAGCATCAGTTCCTACCTAAAGTAAAAAGTAAAGGTAAAGGTAAAGGTTCCCCTTGACAATTTTTGTCCAGTCGTGTTCGCCTCTAGAGGGCGGTGCTCAGCCCCGTTTCCAAGCCATAGAGCCAGCGTTTGTCCGAAGACAATCTTCCGTGGTCACATGGCCAGTGCGACTTAGACACGGAACACTGTTACCTTCCCACCAAGGTGGTCCCTATTAATCTACTTGCATTTGCATGCTTTCGAACCGCTAGGTTGGCGGGAGCTGGGACAAGCAACAGGCGCTTGCTCCGTCGCGTGGATTCGATCGTATGACTGCTTGGTCTTCTGACCCTGCAGCACAGGCTTCTGCGGTTTAGCCCTCAGTGCCACCACGTCCCACCACTTACCTAAAGTAGGCCAAGTGAAATGAATGAGACGTTTTAGTCACCACCAGTCTAAATCCCATTGATCAACATATATTCTCTAGGTAGAATGATGGATTTTGCCCTCTTTCTTTTACTGTGCCCTCATTTTAATTTATGAATTCTTGGGATGTTGTGTCAAGGATTGCCATTGCCAGCTGTCCCTATTTCAAATAATTGTTCTCTGTTTACCATGGAAATATTGGGGGAAATCCTATTGTTTTGCTATGCAGGTGCAGCTCAATGTTACTCTTTCCAGTAGCTTGCAAAAGTGCCAAGGTGGAAGTGCAATCCACAAAGCGCTTCTGCCAGTGCACTCTGCGATGGTGACAATGGAAATCGCCAACCAATTTCACAACTGAATCACACAATTCCCTGTTGCCAGGAGTAATGCCAGGTACATTTACTGGATTTGTTCCCTTTTTTATCGGTATACTGTAATAAAGCCCTGATAACATTTTGATACACATAATTTGTCATTCTCTTACTGATGCACAATGTGTTCATTATTTTGGAGCTATTCAGGGGGAAATCCTAGCTGAGGACATTTTTAATTGCCTGTTATATTATTTGTCCACTTGATTTTTTTCCTTTTCCCCTTAAGGTGTGGACAAAATGCTGGAAATAAATTAAATAACTGACAGTCTCTTACCATTTCCTGAACAACACAAAACACATTTTCATAGCTGAGATATAAACGATTGTTTGCATTTCTCTTGCTCTGCCATGCAAACATACATTTCACAATGCTATAATGTGCTTAATTGCAACAATGGATCTCGTATTATTAACGACATGTGCAACATGTGCACAAGGGAAGGCTCAGGAATCCTTGGCATGTTTAACACATGGTTTTCAGTAATATTCTGAGAAACTAGGAGGTTCCGTGGAAGCTCGTTAAAGCACAAATGCATATCCCTTTTGGCATTTAGGGCCCTATCTGCTCTTGCGAGGGGAAAGCAGGGCTTGCAGATGTATGTTTGCACAGACCTGCACACCCAGTGGTGGAAGCAAGGAATGCAGAGAGAGATACTCATGGATGTATAATGGAAGCTCGGCACAAATGCATATCCCTTTTGGCATTTAGGGCCCTATCTGCTCTTGCGAGGGGAAAGCAGGGCTTGCAGATGTATGTTTGCACAGACCTGCACACCCAGTGGTGGAAGCAAGGAATGCAGAGAGAGATACTCATGGATGTATAATGCACGCACATTGTACATCCATGTACAATTGGATTGGCTTGCAGATGTATGTTTGCACAGACCTGCACACCCAGTGGTGGAAGCAAGGAATGCAGAGAGAGATACTCATGGATGTATAATGCACGCACATTGTACATCCATGTACAATTGGATTCTCTCCAGTCTCCACTGAGGTTCTGATCCTGAAATCCCAAGCAATGAGATACAGTGGTGCCTTGCCTGACAATGTTAATTCGTTCCAGCGAAATCGCTGTGGAGCGAAAACATCGTCAAACAAATTTTTTAAAAAATCATTGAAACACACTGAAAACCATTCAGTGCATTCCAGTGGGCTAAATACCTGCACATCCAGCGAAGATCCTCCATACGGCGGCCATTTTTGGTGTCTGTAAAGTGAGGGATCCATCCTAGAAAACAGCGGGGGGGCATTTTCTTCAGCCGCCGGACATTTTGAAACCCGATGATCAGATGTTTGTTGATCGTTGTAAGGTGAAAATCGGTTCCTTAAGCAGGGAACCGATCATCATTAAATGAAAAAACCCCATTTAAACCATCGTTTTGCGATCGCAAAAGCGATTGCAAAAACCTAATCATGCAGCGATTTATTCATTAAGCGAGGCAATCGTTAAGCGAGGCACCACTGTACTAGCAAATAGTGTAAGGATAGGAGAAGCATGAAGGATGAAATGACAAAAAAACTAAAAGATGTAGACAGACCAACAGTGTGGGGGCAGGTAGACACTTTAGAAGACAGTACATCAAGAGAACACAGAAGAGAGAATAGATTTTTAGTAGTTTTAAAGAAAATCCTGAGTCTTACCAAATCTACGTCCAGGTGCCAGCACTGGTAGCACATGTGCTACTAGTCAAGAACTGTGGAAGGGATTGTCACCCTCAAATTGGCCTTCTCAGCTACAATAGACATTGTTCCAAGTCTTCTATTCAGAGCATGTTACCATAGTCTCTCGAGACTGAATAATGCCTAATCTAAGTCGAGAACGGCTATTAGACTACAGCAGGGAGGGACAGATGTTTTCAGCCTATCTCTCAATCGGGATCAGCCAGAATAACCACTGCTGAGAGGTTATACGTATTACAGTCCAAAATCATGGGGTCACAGTTGTCTACCTCCCAGCAGTGTCTCTCCAGGGATCCAGAAAGAGCTCCTCTCAGCCCTCTCTGGAGATGGCAAAGATTGAACCCATGACCTTTTGAACTTAATGCATTTGCTGGCCACCATATTACAGACCCCATCCTTTCTTAGTCATACTTTCAGTTCACACGATGCAACTACAAAATCATATAACTCCTGTTCAGTGGATGTATCTTGCTAGGCTTTCATATTAATTCAGTCTACAAATGAGAGTAGGTGAAACTTTTATTAGACCACTAAGATACCACAGGCATAAATAGGTTGTCGACTCTGCAGAAATCTTCATCAGTCTGGACGTTACTGAGCTGGAAGAGTTGCAAAAGAAATATAAAATGTATCGAAATCCAAGACCAAATGTCCAGGGTCAGATTTCCTTGTTGAAAGCAAGCTCCAGAATGGGAGGAGCCCATTGCAGAATGAGCCCAAAGGTGGGAGGTTTCACATTGCATTTCCGGAAAGGTGGATTAGCAAGTCTCTGCTAATAAAGGAGAACCAGTCACCCAGAACTTCAGGAGATCCCAGAACGTGCCCCACAGTCTTCATCCTCTCTGTAATAAACAGTTTCATAACATACAGTCAGGATGTTATCATTAGTCTTTATCCAGATCTACAGGGAGACAGAATTGGCTGAAGGTAAGACTTTTTAAAGAAATAATTCTTAAATTCTGTAGACTTTCTGGCATTGTGAGAGTTTAAAAGATGCCAGGTTTCTGACACTGCTGTGAGTGGTGCCAACATTAGATAGAACCTGGGAAAAGGATTTTGAGCACCACTTAAGAGAATGAGCCAGAGGCAGCTCTCCCTCCAACAGGTTAAAAAAAAAAACTTGAGCAAATCAGTATATATCTTTTCCAACCCTGGGAAAGGTCAGTTGTTTGGACCACTGAATTCCTCTTATACACCCCAATACAAATAACTTTTCCAGGCTCTGGATTCTTTTGCGTTAGGGCCCTTATAGCTTTCCTTCTCCATCTTCAGCAGTTATTGGCTGAATTCCAACAGCTGGTCTCAACTAGAGTAGGCCCATTGAATCAGTGGGGTTTTGATGAGTCAGTTCCTCTGTAAGTTCCATTGATTTATTGGTCCTACTCTAGTCAGGACTTACTACTTGGGTTTCAGCCACTATTTCTCATCTTCTTCCTTGTTGATTGCTTGGCTCCATCTTTAGACTCCCCTTCCCTCAGTGTAAGAATGAAGTAAGGCTCCTTTCACAGAGACTTTTGTGGCTGTGGGAGCTTTTTGCCCACCCGCTCAGGCGAGGCGCATGCAGGCGGGCGTGCAGAATGGCATGATAGGACGTGGGCTGAGGTGAGCCTTTAAACAGGCAGATTGCCCCCACCAGTTTACCTTTGCTTCCAGATGTCAGCCCACCCACCCAACCTTATTAAGAGTGAGCTTTGCTGGTTGCTTCAGGGCCAGATGAGAATTTTTGGCCTGCCGCTTTGATTGGCAAATTAGGAGGTGTGTTTTCACCCATCCTGTTTTTAACCTTGTGTTGATTGTTATGGGTGAGGATTATATTTGTTGGTCACACTGGTAGGTAGGGGCGGAAGTCATGAGTTTAAAAAGTGGGATGGGGAGGAGGCAGTGGTCTCCTGAGGTGTGGTTCGTCTTGAGTCCCGAGGCTCATTCGGACTGCGCCCTTGGGGGAGGGGGCTTCCAGATTTTACCAGAACTCAGCCAGTTAAGGCCTGTGGGGGGGGGCAAGACCGGCCCCAGGCACACAGCATGATGCCACCCTACTTTAAGTCCCCTCTTGAAAGGGGATGTTGTGTTAACGTGTTTATGTTCAATAAAGTGTGGCCCAAAAATTAAACCAACTCCTGTGTCATGCCTCATCGCTCCAGGCTGGGCGGGCAATGCTCTTCATGCAGCTCCTGTTGATTTTAGCAGGGTTGTGTCAGAACTTTTGTTGTGTCCTTATGTTGTCTTGTCATGCCACAAAACCAAACCTTCAAAGTGTTGTTTACCTGGCCCCCACAGGATTCACCTCATTCACCCCTTTAGCATCTGAGGCACTCGCTAATGAATCCTTTTCCTGCACCTCTGCTTGATTCTCAGAAAGTCTCCAGGCCAAAGCCTGCATCATCATATTAACAGAAACACCTACATTTGCGCCTACCTTTCCTTTTGAAAGGGATCCCATTTCATTTCCTTTGAACGTCCCTTGCTTTCTTTCCTTGGTTACCTCTGCTTCTTTACATATTTCTTCATACAGCTGCCTTGATTTCTTTTCCCGGTCCAGAATTTCTTTGGGGAATAAGCTCTTTTCATCAAATGCAGCTTTCAGGGCTAAAGGGTTTGGAAGGAAGGAAGGAAGGAAGGAAGGAAGGAAGGAAGGAAGGAAGGAAGGAAGGAAGGAAGGAAATACTCATTATGATCCTCATTATGATTAGGCTTACCTGTCTTTTTAAAAATAAGAATCATGCTGAACATGAAAGTTAGTGAGGAGAAAAAAATCTGAACAACACATCGTTTACAGGTAAATCAACTATGCAGCCTCTGTGACAGCCACTTACCGATAAGTCATTCTACTTTGTTGAGCCTGTGACCAAGAAAAGGGGTTATAGAGATAAAATGGCAGTTGATTCTGAATAGCAGCAATAACCAAGCACTTATGGCAGCCCTTTCCACAGTTTTCTAGGTACAGAGTAGGCAGCAATAACCAAGCACTTATGGCAACCCTTTCCACAGTTTTCTAGGTACACAGAAATGATTAACCAGTCTCAGACATCATTCCAGTTAGGTCCAGGAGAATACCCCCTTCATTTCTTCTGTGAAATTAAATGCCTGCCCATCCCTGAGAATGCTGGCTATGGGATACTGGGAGTTGTAGTAAAAAACCACCAAATTTTGTCAAGCTCTGCTGGAGAACACCTTTCTTAAAAGTTTAAAAAAAAAAGCAAAATGTGCTGCTTATATACCAGTCCATAGTTCTTAAAGCAGTTTCTGGGCAGTTTACAATGTAATTATGCAGACTAAACATTCCTAAACCCACCCACCCATTCCAGCAATCTGGGTATTCATTTTACCAACCTTGGAATTATGGAAGCCTGAGTCAACCTTAAAACATCTACCTGAGCCTGTCGGCATTTAATTCAGGTAGTGAGCTGAGTCTTGACTGAAGTGCTGCAATTTAACCATTGAACCACAGGGCTCCTTAATACTAGCCCAGGAAAGCGGGGACAAGCAATTTGCCTTCTGTCTGGCACCACCTGTACACTGACTGCAGTTAAATATATTGCCTTCCATCCTGTTTGTCAGCGGACAGTCTGGTCCTCAGCGCGGGATTCTGCTGTCAAGCACATTTTCAGAGAGGACAACCTGCTGCTTTGGCAGGATCCAGAGAAATGTATTCCATTCTTGAATTATCCTGGAAATATACAATCTATCTCTGCCCAAAAATGAGCCACATTCCTTCAAAGCATCAAAATGCCTGCCAATATACTTCAATTTTCATTTAGTTCTCAGATTTTCATACAAGAAACTACTCACACTTAAATGTACATATATGTATATTATATATATAATTTATGAGTGCCTGCATAACATAATGGATGTGGACTAGATTTATTTATTTATTTATTTATTTATTTATTTATTCATTCATTCATTCATTCATTCATTCATTTATTCATTTATTCATTTATTTATTAAATTTATACCCCGCCCCTCTAGACCATGTGGTGAGACCTGTGGTGAAATAATCTATTATTTTTGTTTTCTCTTGCATTCAAAAACTGTTAACTCTCAGTCTCTTTCCATTCCAAATATGAAGAGGTTTGCAATTTTTTTTTTTGCAAATTCATAGACTAAATTATTGTCTGTTTGCACTGACCAATTACACTCGTACAGCTATTCCCAAATACGAAGAACCAGGCAGTACCTCTCTGCCACATGGTCATTAGAGAGGAAGAGCTGGTGAAACCTTGTTCTGGCATTCCCTGAAAGCAAGTACAGATTGAGGTGAGAAACTCTTCCTCCACCAGAAGTCACACAGCTCTCCGCATGTTCACTGTGAGGGTCAGGAATAACACTTGTCTGGGCATTCAGCTGAATGAGCTTACACCATTTCTGTGACCTGCAGGCCAAAGCTTCCTGATCCCAGAAATGCTGTAAGCATGTTCTGAAAAGAAAACACTTATAAGCCCCACTGCAGACCTCTACTGTTAACATATGAAGGTATGCCTGATTTCCAGCTATGCAAGAGGCAAGACATAACCCACATCCCTGTTGTGCTTCAAGACCTACACAGCTGTACACAATCCAGCTGTGACATGTCCAAATATACCACCACATTTAATCTGGACATGTCACATTTGGACATGTCACATGGGTGGATGAATCTGTTTTTTTGTCTCTCACTTTCATGATTATTTAAAATGAAAATAACCTCAAATTCTTTCCATTATGAATATGAAGAATTTGGAGGATTCTGGCAATTTTTATTTTTAAATGACATTCTTACACACTCCTAGGAAGACCTAAGTGGAAATCACGAATAATTATGATGACATGCTGTCAAGTTGATTCCGATGTATGGCAACTTTCCCAAGATTATTCCAGATAATTGTTCAGAATTGATTTCTTCTTCTGGTGGCATTTTGGAACTGTGCCACTTGCCTGATGTCACACGGGGTAACAGGTCATATGACCCCAACAGCCACACATATGAGCTTGACTGTCCCTTTCTTGGGATACATAGCAGGGGTTCAAACTCATGACCCCTAGCTCCACAGCATGTTTTCCCAATCCATCTATATCATCTCAGAAACAGGTCAGTACAGATTTTATTGAATCTTTGGATTAATGGAAAGAACATTAGACAGATTATAAGGATATCTATTGGAGAGACTGACCCCCTGTGACTGCTGTTTAGTCTGGATTTTCTTTGGCTGGACTGTGTGGAACTCTGATAATAGACTTTTGTTAGGTTTCTGGAGAAAAAGGGATATTTTTGCCACGGTTGTATTTTAAATTGTTGGGCTAAAAGTTGGTTTGTCTATTATAACATCTGTGAAGGATGGGAGGAAGAACCTAGGGGAGGTTTATGATTGTGGGTTTGGTTTGTTGATAAAATAATGGAAACTTCGGAAAGATATTTGAGGGTTGGCCACTTTGGTGAAGGATATAGTATTATTTATACAGACCCTACTCATTGGAAATATCGAAATGGCCTCCAAAAAATTAAAATATCAAATGTTGGGGACTTTGCCCAATCTCAAAATTTGAGAATAGTGGCACAAAAATCAGACAAAGAATGGCAGACTACCATGCAAAAGATAATAACAACAGGATTTCAGCAAGTAAATGAACATCTTAGCCAAACAGAAGATCAGATAAAAGAGAGGTTATCAGATATTAAACAACAGTTAAATGAAGCTGTACTAACTCCAGAACTGCTTTTATTGAGTATGATACCAGGTAACATAGATGGGAGAAAGAGTTACCTAGTGATCTATTAAGCTACTACAGTCAGAAAACGTTATGTTAAAAATTGGACTGTTGTCCTGGATTCACCCTTCTCTTCCAAAAATTGGTTGAAAACAGAGTTACGGAAACAAGAGGAGCTTATTGAAAAAATATGGGAAGCGGCAGAAATGGCTATCCTTTCAGACGTACTGAATGTCCAATTCAGAAGGAAACTGAATGATGGGATTTATTATACAAATGGCTTCCGTTCCCTGATAGTATTGGAGTAACTTAGATTTAAACTAAAACATAACTAAGTTGATAGCTGGAAGGTAATCAAATAGTAAAAAAGCAGAAAGTTGATTTGTTATTGAAATATGAATAGATTGGATGATTGCGAACTTTGTGTTCTCCTATCTCCCTAACTCCCGCCAACCTAGTGGTTTGAAAGCATGCTAATGCGAGTAGATAAATATGGACCACCTCGGTGGGAAGGTAACAGCGTTCCGTGTCTAAGTTGCACTGGCCATGTGAACACAGAAGATTGTCTTCGGACAAAATGCTGGCTCTATGGCTTGGAAAGGGGGTGAGCACCGCACCCTAGAGTCGAATAGGACCGGAAAATTGTCAAGGGGAACCTTTACCTTTACCTTATCCCCCTAACCCTTTCCCTTTCCCCCTACTGCCTTTTACCTTTTGTATTCCCTACCCTATTCTTAGTTGTTAAAAAAATAAATATTAAATTTAAAAAACAGGTCAGTACCAAAATATAAAGTTCATTCTATGACCTTGGCCAGCCATAGTGCTACTGCAGGAAAACACTTCAACATAATGATGAGATTCCTTCCCATCTAAACGTTGTTCATGGCCACATCATTATTTAAGAGGGGGAGGAAATATGCAAAACACACAGCAAAATAACAACTATGGCATGAGCTCTCAAGCATGTTGCTTGACTAATATTTACTACGTAACCAGGGAACAGGGGATTTCAAGAATTGTGAATTCTTGAGCCAAATAAGTTAACAGTAAAGCTTACCTAGTTTTTGTCTCTCATCCAATGTCCAAACCAGAAGGTTTGGGAGGATTAATGAGAATATTCTGAAGTGCTTCATATAAATTTAATAATAGCATTTTATATCTAAAACTCCTGGGGAAAGGGGAGAAATCTAACAGTCTGGGCAAGATTAATGACGGCGAAGAAAATCAGCATTTTTCCAACTGAGATCATACACCTGGCTAAGTCATGAAGGCTCACTGGGAATTGATCCAGCCCCCAAAAGGATTATATTTTAATTTTTTAAATTGCCTTTTGGAGCCATATGGGGGCTGTCACTGGACTGTGCTGAATCATCAGCATAAGCTCCCATTTAATTCACTTTTTTTGTTTCTCGGGGGGCTTCCCATCTAATTCTCGGTTGCCTCTTGTTATCTAGCTCAAAGAAGCAAGATGCTTTTTCCTGTGTTAAGTCAGAAGTGCTGATGCTGGAATACGGAAAGCAAAAAAAAGTCTTTCTGCTGCACCAGCTCCAGTCCTAGTGATGGACCATGAACAATCTCCGAAGGTGTTTGGCAAAGATGCTGTGATGGTAATTGCAGGCTCTTCTGGATGAAGATGAGTTTTCCAGCCTTGCCCAAGAGCTCCCCCACCCCCAACCCCACCCCCAAAATTGTGATTTATATGATTGTTAGCCAGCTCTTTGAGTGGTCAGAAGGTTCATGGGTTCTGCACTTACCCATATCTGGTTTCCTTTGGAAGGATGTTCCTGGAGACTCATGGTATTCTGTAATATTTCAGTTCATTTATGATTTTATCAGATGAACATAAGTGAAAGTACAACTTAAACATTCCAACAGACAATGAAAATACCCACATCAAA